TGCATTGCCCTGGCTGCTGCTAGGGGCGGGGCCGGGGACGCGGCGCCTCCGTGACGTAGCGGCGCGTAAGCTCCGCCCCCGACCCGTCAGTGCTGGGGATTCGGGATCTGCTTCTGCCCGCCCCCCCCCCCGAACTGGGCTGTTGGGGTGCGCTAAGGTGGCTTGGGCTTGGGCTCGGTGTTGTCGGGTGCCCGATAATTATCGTATTTCTACGATCGTTTCTTTTCTGTTATACCAAATAAATAAATAAATAAATAAAATTGTACCATAACTTCAACCCTCGTACCATGGGCAAGCAATCAATAATAGTAAAAGTGTGCGAAATGTAGGATAATTTTGAGGCAACTCCTTGTTGCAGCATATGCAAAACCCAAGTCACTTTCAGGGAGTCTTAACTGACTTTCGGGCTTGCTGTCAGCACTTTCTTAGGACTGCTTGCCTCAAAATAAACTGCTTCAACTTTGATAACCCAGTTCTCGCTCAGTGGCAACTTATAGTAAGCAATAAAAGTAAATAAGATTTGTTTGCATGCTTATTTGAATATTAATTCACATGATTTTTCAGTGTACGATAGGTTTTTAGCAAATATGATCGTTTTGAGCTTCTAATAGAATCATTTTGTATTTAAGACCTAGCAACACTGCTTGGGCTGCCTTGGCGGAGTGACGTGCTTTGAAAGACGTGGCCAGGGGACCCGCTGCACAGCCTGAGCTGCACCCAGACCCCACTCTGCGTGCCCCCATTGCAAGCCTGGGAGGGACCGCCACCCTCTTCCCCTCCTCTTTTACTGTTGTGCCACCAAGCGCTGCTGGTACTCGTAATGCTGGACTCGTAATGCTGCGGCACTTCCCTGGCATCAGGGAGGCTTTCTAGCTTGGGGGTACAGGGGAAGGGGAGATGAAACCCGTCCCAATCCAGCGCTACCACTAGTTTAGATCTGCCCACCCTCTTCTGTAGCTGGAAGGCCCCTGAGCCTGGGGCAGACCCCAAAGCACACCTGCCTCAGCCCATCCAATTCAAGGTCTGCAAAAGATGCTCCAGGACATCCTTCTGGTAGCCATTCAGTGGCTGGTGTGCAGGCAGGAGGCAGACCCTACCCTGAGCAGCCTGGCACCAGCAGGGCAGGTGGTGGTGAGCTGTCTGCACAAGGCAGCTGGGGAGCTTGCTCAAAACAAGGGGCTGTGATCAGGGTAGTGATTCTTGTCCCTCTTCCCTTATTCCTGGTATTTGTGTCTGGCTCCTGACCTTTGGCTTGCATTTGATTACGACTCTTAGCTTCCCAACCCTGGCTTAACTTTCAGCTTCCTGTTTCTGGGTCCTTGACATTGGCTTGTTGCTGAACCACTCCTGGGCCCTGACCATTCTTTGACATCTAGACTCTGGCTTGATCGCTGGCTCCAGATCCTGCATGTGTCCTTGTTCTGACTCCTGGTTCTAGTTCTAATTCCAACTTTCTGACATTAGGCCTGACTAGCCATGTCCTGGTTGCAACTAAACCCACTGTATTTAAATTATTTTAAAATTACATTCAAAACTAGTTAAGCTAAACTAGAATAACTCACACTCTTCATCTGAAATAAGTGTTGTTTAACTAGTGTGTTTAGACAACTTGTCACTTCCTTCTCTCTCTCGCATCCAAATTTGGTTGTCATCTATGATCGTCTTGGCTCCTCCTGACTCCCCCACTTCTACTTATTCCAGTTTATTGCTGTTGCCCTGATGATTTTCTAGTTCCATGATTCCTCTGACTTTACTTTCAGCTCTAAATCAGTTCCTCTGCTCAATATCTTTTCCTTAGTTAATGTCATTATTCAGTCCTGGTCTACGAACAAACCGTACCCAATGTAACTCTCATTTTCATGCAGTAGGCATTTATCCATGCATTTCTCTCTTTTATTAACAGATCTCAGTAGCTAAACCAACACAAAAAACTCTTATTGTTGCCCTGTGGGGTTAGGCCCACTCTCAGGATCTCAATATTGTGCTGTTAGACAGGAGGGTATGACACACTTGCACATATACAAACACATAAATCAATTAGGTGCATACACACACACACTACCAACTCAGGCACATACACATCCAAACCAGCCTAGGCACATGCATACCTATCACCAATTCAAGCACATAGTTTCATAGTTTCATAGTTTCAGGGTCGGAAGGGACCTAATAGATCTTCTAGCCCGACCCCCCGCCAGGGCGGGAGAACAACCCAAAAACACAAACAAAACCACTCACCCTAAAAACAAAAACGGGACTCAAATGAGTCCAGCCAGGTAAGTATCCAGCCTCTTCTTAAAGATCCCCAGGGTAGGGGCCAGCACCACCTCCCTTGGAAGTTGGTTCCAGCTCCTAGCCGCCCTAACTGTGAAGTAGTTTTTTCGGATGTCCAATCTGTACCTCCTCTCCATCAACTTGTGCCCATTACTCCTTGTTATGCCAGCGGGGGCTAGGGGAAACAGCGTCTCCCCCAAACCCTTCTGGTTCCCCCTAGTGAGTTTATAGACGGTCACCAGGTCCCCCCTCAGCCTTCTCTTGTGGAGGCTGAATAGGTTCAAGTCCCGCAGTCTCTCACTGTAGGGTCTGCCCTGTTGTCCCCGGATCATGCGGGTGGCCCTCCTCTGGACCCTCTCCATGTTGTCCACATCCCTCCTGAAATGGGGCGCACAGAACTGGACACAATACTCCAGCTGCGGCCTGACCAGCGTCGCATAGAGGGGGAGGATCACCTCCCTGGCTCTACTCGAGATGCACCTGTGGATGCACGACAAGGTCCGGTTAGCCCTGCCAACCATGACCTCGCATTGTCGGCCCATGTTCATCTTGGAGTCAATAATGACACCAAGATCCCTTTCCGCCTCCGTGCTCTCAAGTAGGGAGCTCCCCATCTTATAAGTGTGCTGCTGGTTCCTACTACCCAAGTGCAGCACCCTGCACTTGTCCGTATTGAAACGCATCCTGTTCCTGTCTGCCCACCCCTGTAACCTATCCAGATCCTTCTGCAATCTCTCTCTCCCTGCTAGCGTGCTCACCTCCCCCCAAATTTTGGTGTCATCAGCGAATTTAAACAGGTTGCTCTCCACCCCAACATCAAGATCGCTGATGAAGAAATTGAACAGCGCAGGCCCCAGGACCGAGCCCTGGGGGACTCCACTACCCACCTCCCCCCAAGTCGAATATGATCCATCCACCACCACCCTCTGAGTGCGACCCTTCAGCCAATCTGCAATCCATCTGACCGTGTAGGCATCTATGCCACAGTCGCCTAGTTTACTAATTAGGATGGGGTGAGAGACGGTGTCAAAGGCCTTGCTGAAGTCCAGAAAGACTACATCCACCGCGACACCTGCATCCATGGCCTTTGTGACCTGATCATAAAAGGCAATCAGGTTGGTCTGACATGATCTCCCCCTAATAAATCCATGCTGATTGCCCCTGAGCATCATCTCGGATGCCGGCCCATCACAAATGTGCTCCTTGATGATCTTCTCAAAGAGCTTCCCCAGGATTGAGGTAAGACTGACGGGCCTATAATTGCCCGGGTCCTCCCTTTTCCCTTTTTTGAAGATGGGGACCACATTAGCTACCTTCCAATCGTCTGGCACCTGGCCCAAGCACCACGATCGCTCGTAGAGCCGTGCCAGGGGCCCTGCAATAACCCCAGCCAGCTCCCTCAGCACCCTGGGGTGGAGAGCATCCGGACCCGCTGACTTGAACGCGTCCAGCCCCTCCAGAAGCTCTCTAACCCGGTCCTCCCCAACCTGAGGTCTGAAGGCGATCCCCTCGCGTCCGGCTTCTATCACAGCAGGGAAGTCCCGGTCCCTGCACAAGAAAACGGAGGTGAAGAATTGGTTAAAGAGGTCCGCTTTATCCTCTGACGCAACCACCAGATTGCCCCGCATATCCTGCAGGGGCCCCACATTACCCGGCGCCTTCTTCATCCTCCCAATATATTTGAAAAAGGACTTTTTGTTATCCTTAATCCTGGACGCTAATCCGAGCTCTATCTCCGCCTTGGCCTTCCTAACCTTGCTTCTTGTCGGGGTGGACACCCCTTGGGCCCCGAGTATCGTTTCCTTAAGGAACGACCACTCCTCTTGGACGCTGAGTTCCTCTGCCCTC